GTTAAATCATCAATAACAGCAATTACTCAACAAATCTCTATAGATAATTTACCGCAGTGTTTAAACGCAACCGCTGTCCATTCATTCATTTTAAAGTAACATTTAATGTCGTTTTACTAGGGTTTGTGATTTGCGTTTGCAAAGATTTATATTCAGTGCTTAAACGAAAGCTAGTTATTGATTGAATTATTTCTCATTTGTTTCTTTTTTTTATTTTTAAATGTAATTTATCATCCTTGCATATGTATATATATGTGAAATAATAAATCCCATTATTTTTGGGGTGAAGTGCTCATGTTAAACAGTTAGTCCGATGTTTTTGTTTGCATTGCTTGTCTTTCTGAAAATGAAAAATTGAACATTCTATCAAATATATTGTTACTATATTCAAAAAGTCTTCTGCAATAAAGTATTGTACGCTTTAATAGCATCAGCGTAACGAACCCTTCAAGTTCGTGTCGATTGCAACGTGACAATTCGCTACTTGCCCAAGTATTCGAGGTCTTTTGAAATACTTCATCCACTCATTCATCAAGACAGCTTTCGGTCACATACATGCCGTTCGCTCTTTACATGTCAACCGAATAGAATAAAGCGCTAAGCTTCCAAGGTAGTTTGAGTTTGATTTGTTATAAACACTACAGCTTTTAATTAAAATTTAAGTTCCACTCCCCATTTTCCCTTCTTTTGTCTGAGTAAAACTATTTTTTAAGTTTAAAGTTGCATTACATCGCAGTCAGCTTGGTAGGAAGCATAAGTATCCGATATTAAATTAATAAAATTTATCGAATTTGATTCATGCATGCATTCATTATCTATTTAAAGTATTTGAATCAAAAGGAATGCAGTCAATCGCATTGAAATAGTAACAGATCATAAGTACCACTCTTAATGACCTTACTCCACTGATCGATTTTCCATTACCAAGCAAATTTCATCGTAAAATACCAGTTAGGTATTTTGAATTCGCCATGCCGAGCTTCAATTTCATATATTTTATTTTGAATTCTCTATTGGAATTTGTGTAAGTGTATTGGCCTTGCATGTAATATGTAGATAAAAATATGTACGCAATGGCGTTGATTCAACCTTACCCATCTCGCGAAAATTTTGAATCGAAGAGGGGGTGTCGATCCATAAATGTCTCTGCTTCTGTGATTTACTATATTTTCTAAAAAATAACAGCTCGGTGTAAGTAGGGCAACAAGTCTGGATTTAATATAAGTTTAGTTCATTCAATACATTGACTGTGCAAGAGTAAACAACAACAAAATCTCACGTACAAACGAAATATAAATTTTCTGCAGCATATGTCCAGGAGGAAGCAGAAAATATTTCTATTCGGATGAAAGTTAAATACAAGGAATTATTTCAAGATCATGTTTGAACTGAATGTGCAAAAAACGATATTCAGCGAAAAAATTTGTGCAAAATTTAATTACAATTACCTCAGACTACTTGGATAGAGAATAATTTATAAAAATTATTTTCCTAAAATGGTATTACAACACTAGATGAGACTGTCTTTAAGACAGTAGTGTAAATATATTCAAGTAAAGAGAAGAAGTTGCATCATTTCATGACTTCTTCCAATTATCTAGTGTTTCTGATTGTCCTTACCAATGGATATGATTGTGATTCGTGACAATATGAATTTACCACTGGTTAACTTAACTGAAGAATTAGCAAAAGCTACAAACTCCCCTAATTAGGAAAAAAATTATATATTTCTACTTTTATGAAGCGAGCAAGTTTCTAATAATAATGATGACTTGTTTTGAATCACGTCGTTTGGTTTCAATCATACGTTGCAATGCTCGACTTTGACATAATCGCAAATTATCATCAGCTATACCTCCAGCCGTAGAGCCGCGGTTTAAGAAAATCTGCTTTAACGTGCCGCTCAAACCACTTTGCACACAAAGCATACCAAACTGTTTATACGTCGTGTTTTATTGCATACTTTATTGCAGTGCGCAAGTAAATTCAATTCATATAAAACAATATATTGAGTAAATAAAATTTAGTATGAATAACGCGTAATTTAACGCGAATTCATACGCGCGAACTTTAATCTCTATGGCCCTTAGGCCACATTGTGGAATTCGGTAAAACACAAACTCTTGTTTTTATCAAGAGACAACAATTGTTACGTTTCGCTGCTTGTTTTCGGTTAAAAACAATAAAAAAAAATAAATTGTGCAACCGCCTCTTGTTTCGATCGTAAGCTGATTAAATATTTCCATAATGTCATATGTTAACTGAAAATAGGCAACGGTAATTGATAATTGGTGCGCTTTGTATTTGAATTTCCAGAATATCGTATATTCAACCGCGATTTGTAAGCATTAAAAGCCAATGTAAATAGAGACTAAAAAGGGACAACGAAAACATAATGATTTCATAATGATTTTCAAGTAATTTTCAAATACTGATTATGAATTACTAGGAGATGAGTTACGCGAGCAATATAATGAAAACTTATGCTAACTTAAAGAAGTACAAAGGAAACTTGATTGTCTTTGGCCAGCTCAAGCATGTCAATCGGTCACAATGAAAGCAATAGATAGATCCTTGACACAAAGACAATTAGCTAAGAACTAAATGGATGAGAGTCGAACTGAGTACACAGGCACCCATTTATTGAAGGAAGGATCAAAAGTACAAGTATAGCATAAATTGCAATATTTGCGTAGCCAATAGACAGTTCCATCCAAAATGAATTAAACCCGATCGTCTAAATCAAAACTTCATGGAGACGTACCTACATACATCTTCTGAAAAGTTAATTTAGCGACAACTACGCAATGCTTGTACGGAACAACTTGAGAAATTTACAGCAACAAAATTATATTCTTACAACCAACAACTTGTAATAATAAAAACGCTACTGTAACCAATTGAAGGGTTTTTCTCTTTCAAATCGAGTCTCAGTTTTTCACTACGACCACCATCCTTGAACAATGAACATAAAGAGTCTACTTAGTTAAGTGTTTAAGTAGGGTAGTATAGCATGTATAATACAAGTAGCGAAAATTTGGCAAAGTATGATCTTCCTTAAGCCCACTTCATGCATTCCAGATTTTTAAAGTGAAATATTCCAAAAATGCATTAATATATCAAATAATTCTTAGGTTCATTAGCATCTCTTCGGTGAAGCGTTTATGAACTTTCGCTTTTTCGGTTTTTGTTTTGGTTCAGTCAATCATTTCGTTCGTTTCGTTTAAAATTCAGCTTCCAAATAATTTCGTTCGATAATGGAATATTGATTTAAGACGTTGAACACATCTATCCGCAAGCATCATTTACATAAAACGCAAATAACGCATACAGCATAAATACATTTTCGCACTTTGAATATGATTTGTGTTTGCTTTGACTTGAGTAGTGAAATTTGTTTTACTTATATTTAATATATCAGTGCGAAAAAGAGAGGAAAGTTGGAAGAAGAAAGGCTAAGCATGTCAAAAAAAAAACGTCAGTTATAATAACAAAAGAAAACAATAAAAGACTAGAAAAAAGAAAAAAAAAAAACAAAAAAAGAAGAAAAACAAACCGCAAGTTATTTTACATCTACCGCGAGCAGTACTTTTCGCTTAGATGAGTCGTCTAAATATTTCACTTTTCACCATCGCTTACACAAGCAGCGTCAATTTCTTCTAATTTATGGATTTCAAATCCATGAAAGCGTTCGCTCCATTCTTCTTAAGCACGTTTTATTGAATTGCTTGCGTAACTAAAATTTACATTAAAAATCATTCTTCTTCTTAGTATCATTAAGCTTGGAGAAGAATGTACAGTCTTGCAAATACTTTCCACTTTCCACTTTCCACCTTTAGTCAGTCGTTCTAAGTGAAAAGTACTGCGTATAGGTATAGATATCTTGCGGTTTTTGGTTGCATTTAAAATGCAAAGTTGTTATGGTCTTTAACAACGCATATAAAATGCTCACGTATTCTGATAGAAAGCAAAGTAAAATAAATCAGGTCGAAAATATAAAAACTTTAAGAAACTTGAACAAAAAAAAAAAACAAAATCGTTTCGATTCCATTAAGAAGTCTGTTGTCGCTTATGTATGCTTAAGGAAAACAGCATAAATACTGTAAATAAAAAGAATGCAAAGTCTGCTCTCAACGTCCTGAGCATCCGAACATCATCCGAAGTTTGGACCGAAAAGTAAATTTTTTTTTAAACAAATTTTATAATTATTTTATTTTTAATTTTATCGAAGCAAAGAAAAGATTCGAACAAAAAGAAAAAGAAAGAAAAAAAAAAAACAGTATAACCACAATAAAATGCTGTTTACATAAATTAAAGTGAAAACGGAAAACTCTTAAAATTATGCATAAATGATTCGTGAAAACAAAAAAAAATTCAAACGATTGCAGGCTTTCGAAATGGCGCAATGAAAATGTATGGAAATGCATCAGAAAGAAGGCGAAAAGGCGAACGTGTGGTGAAGAAGGAAGTGTAGGGAGACGAAATGTAAAATGTGAATCTCTGGAATATCCGCTTAAGCTTAAGCAGTAAAAAGAGTTGAATAAATATAAAAATAATTATAAGGAAACATTTTTTAAGTCAAATGAATGTTTAAGATGCGAAATGCAAGGCAGACGTGCGAGCAACACGATTATATGAATATGGTACTGAAGGGTGAATGGGAGAACGGTTTTAACGAAAGCATAAGCTGCTAACCTGCAATGCATGTAAATAATAATGGATAAATATGTGCACAGAAATAAATTATTGCCAGATGGAGGAAATTATTGATTAAAACAATGTCTTTTAACATAAGATTCAATGAATGATTGATTAATAATTTGTTAAACTTTGTTAGACTTTGTGTATCTATTGATGAGACAATGATTGGGAAGTGCGCTTGTGGTGTTTCTTAAATGTACCGGTAACGGGTTCTCGCGATATTTTGAACGATAAAAAAAAAAGTACAAATAAATTAAATAAACTAAGATAATTTATAAATATGTCATTGTATTATTATATGGTTCGTTTCTTCTAAGACTTATCGTTATTTCTCCGCGCGTAATTTTCCAATAATTTTTCTTGTACGTATGTCTAGAAAGGGAATCCTTTTTTTTTTGTTGTATAGAGTTTTAACCTAAATAACTTAAATCAGTTGTTATCGGATGGTTTATCGTCTGCTTTGCTTGTAGCCAGAATATGCCAATGATTGAGCGACGGGAGCACTGTAAGCACCATGCGAGTCCCAACCGCTGCCACCGCCCGAAGACCACCCAGCGCTCGATGCTCCTGAACTCCAACCTGAACTGCCGCCGCCCGAATTTTTACCTCCGAATAGGCCACTTAGACCGCCCAGAAGTCCGCCGCCTCCGCCGGAACCAATTTGACCTAAACCACTGCTAGCTCCAGCGGCCAAAGCCATAAAGAACGCAATCACTGACACGACAAGCGCCTTCTTCGCCAAGAACATCAAGCCGAATAGAGCTCCAATCATTAGTACAACGAATTTAACGCCGACACCCATCAAGATGGGCAACAACTTTTTCAAAAGTTTCTTCTTTTTTAGACGAGGTTCGACAAGCAGTTCGCGAAAATCAGCCTTAATATCGTCAGGTATGGCTCGAGCCACAGACCGGGCAGCGTTGTTGAAATTAAAATTCAGCGAACGTTCAAAGAGGAAATTTTTAACATTCTCCATCAAATAGTTGCTCATCGAAATGGTGCGCGCCTCCACAGTAGGCGCCGTTTCCACAGCTAAAGCATTTTCGTTAATTGCCTTGGCCTGACGTCCCTCACCGTCTCGCAGTAAAGTAATGCCGCCAAAAATTTCAATTTGCGGTTTCTCGAAAAACGATTTTGCTTTCCGGTAAAACTGCAACGAAAACGGAGGACAAAGTAGGGAAAAATTAATAATTTCAATAATTTGCGATTTGTTAAATTAATTGCGTTGCCACAATTTTAAATTCATTGCTCTCACATATACATCCTAATATCCGAAGATATACATGATAAGGGATACGAATAGTTTGCATGTATGGGCCCTAACTAAGCTTTGGCAAAACAAAAGCGCTATCCCTTCATTTTTATTTAATTTCGTGCCCGAAAATGGAGCAAAAGAGGAACAACTTTTCCGACCTCATTTGGCACTAAGCAATGGCTTCATCTCAAACTTAAAATTAGCTTTTGCAGGAATTCTCCAAATTTTTTGAATGAGATTTTTTTCATTCTATGCAGGTCCACCCTAATATTTCGGTTTAAAGTTGAAATGAAGTTGAATGCCTGTACAGCAACATTAGGCGGCAGTTAATAGGGAGGAGTATTGCTTTACATTTTATTTTCCAATGCCGCGACGCTGCCAGCTCTCACCCCAAGTTCATATTATCATGCAACCAATGCGCTTTCCAATTGCTGCTTCCCGGTGGCGAAAGCGAAAGTACAAGCTACATAAGCGCAAGACTAGTTAGAGAGAGGGATGGCGCCATGGCACTAAAGTCGCGTTTTTGGACATGTCTGCAGATGGATTCAGGACGCAATAGTCCACCCAGACTAGTCACTCCATTTTATCTTGCTATCGCTAACAAAATTATGAAAAGCCAACAAAACATGCTCTAGATAAGATCGTTTCTGTTATAGGTAAAGGAATAACCAGTGTGTTGGCATATTAGTTCAGCTATCTGGATTGTGGTAAATATATATATTAGATAATGTAGGAATTGCGGGACTTTCAAGGAGTTCCCTAATCTGTGTATTTATTTTATTTATTCAATTTACTCTCATTCTCACGACTATCGCATTTATTAGGCTCAATATTTTTTAGACCATTTTTATCGACCGTTTGTTGTTGTTGTTGTTCTCCCAAGTTTTAATGTCGCAAAAATGTGGAAGTAGATAAGTTCAAATTCGTAACGATTACTTACGCTTTGCCTGAATTTAAAAATTTAATCATGCACAAACACATGTACAAACCCCGAACAAATCTCTGTCAGCTGAAGGTACAGAGAAAAATGGCTCAACTGCTGCTATCTGTTTAAGTTTCTTAAATTAAATTCAAACTCAGTCAATGCATTAATTCACTTCTCGAACAAAGGCACAGTGTGTGCTTGAAAATTGTCAGCAGGACTCAATTTTGGTTCCAATTTCCTCTAATACGAGTAAAACGACATTATCTCTTCACACAACTTTTGCCTCATTCGAGGCAAATTATTAAAAAAATTAAATAAAGGAACGTATAGCGATTTCTGATGATTAATGTGTACAGGTATTGCGCGAAAAATGCGTTACGATATCGCGCTTTAATATAATTAGGCAAATTGGGTCGGAGTCAAACAGAAGTAAGTCTTTAAAGCAATCATTGCTGCCATCAATAGGTTTTAAGCAAAGGTTATCGAACCACCAAGTGACCAAGTCCAGTCAACATCCATGAGAATTAAAAATTTCAGGTCATAACTAATCTCAATTTAATTTAAACTCTAGTTTAAATTGGTAGCCGTTAACCTAACCTTGTACCACGAACATTATTACTAACGATCTTTAAAAAGTCTGCGTAGCTTTCAATCGGGCGAAAGAAAAACATTTTCATTGATTTATTTCTGAGTTCGCATTACTGCACATTGGGTTAGTGAAAAGTTGACTTTTCCTCGAAGTTTGAAAGTTTGTGTTTCTTTTTTCAAATTATTTTATAAGATTGTAAGTAATCCCATGCGAACACAGAAATTGCATTTCTATGAAACCATTTCTTTCTAAGCAAATATCATTATTATTATTATTATTATTATTATTGGGTCGAAGGTTACATTTGCTTCGGTCACGCACTTAATTATTTATGTATCCGTACCGTTAATTGCAGACACGAGATTGAATCGGCTTCCAGGCATTCGCTGAATGCACCTGTTGTTGGTGTCGTTGTCTGTTCTACATTATTATCCTTAATGGGATCAGCCAGGACGACGTTAGTTAAGATGACGAGTATACACGTTACAAAACTTGCGATTTTCATTTTCATTTTCATTTTAAAATTTTATTTTTTATTTTTATTTTTTCTTTGCTTATCTATCTTATATATTTTTTGGTATATTTTATGTTGCAGATCTTCCCGGGAAACAACAACAACACCGCACACTACACTTAACTCCGAATATCACCGAATTTACTGTGTGTGTTCATTCGCATGGAACAAGTTAAGGTTTGATAGGTTTTCGGCCAGGTCAGGCTGTTTTTAAAGAGTCTCAAACAATCAACGACGAAATTTCGTATAATTATGCGCAAAAAAAAAAAAAAAAAACAGAAAACAAAAAAAAAAAAAAGCAAAAAACGAAAAACACTAAATACACGGAGGGATTTGGTTATGTTTAACGCTCTTAAAATGTTGTACGCCCTGTCTCGCGATACCTGCGTATTGACAATAAGTAATAAGAAAATACCAATAACAATAGCACATCACTCACATACGCGAATCGAAGTTTGCTATCGCCATCTTTTAGCACTTCACGTAAAAACGTTATCAATACCGGTAAACTCTAGAAAAAATAAAAAAAAATAAAAAAAATTAAGTAAAAATCTCTAGTACGCATACTCACAACACTCAAACCTGCGCAGTAAATAATGCTTCCCTGTGAAACGAACATATATGCATATCTAGTACAAGCAATAATTGAGAGTAAACTCAATTGTGAGCAAGAAACTCGTCAAAGTTAAAAAGATTTCCGCATACACTCCTCTCAGCTCGAATGTTTACTCTTTATATTAAGGGCGCCTTAATAGCTTTCTTCTCTTCTCTTTTTATCGTTTTCTTTGAATTAACCGTTAACATGCTATGTGCGTTAGCACACATGCTGGCTTACCCGTCGTCCCGTGCCGTCGACGGTCATAATCATAAAATTAATCATTAATCATGTGCATAGCTGTTTAAAAGTTATTTTAGTTGTGCGCGTACGAATGAAAGTTTCTTCTTACGTTCGATAATACAGTTACCATAAAAACGATATGTCGTCGCTGCCGCTGCTTATGTTGATGCTGATGCTGTTGCTTTAGCCGCTGACGATGCTGATGCTGATGCTGATGCTGAGCGTATTTTTTCATTGTACGTAAGTATTCATATAATTTTTTATATAACATCATGCATGTGTTTAAGTTAAACTCAAGGCCTTCAATTTTCTTCTTTTCAACGTTAAGCGTAGAAATAATAAAAAAATAAATATTATATGAGAAAAGGTATTGTGGTCAGCTTAGGACGACCGATAAGTTGAGTTGCATATATCGTCAGAGAATAAGAGAACAGTTACCACACTTGATTTGAATTACGTTTCTTAACGTGTATGTGATTGTGAAAGAGCTGAAGCCACTCTTTATTTAGGCGTTTAGGTACGTGATCATTATATAACGTCATTTCGTTTATTGTCACTCAGATCACAAAATGACTGAATTTTATTTTGATTAATTTAGGCTGTGTTCTATCGCTTGTAACTGCTCAAAAAGTAGTCACTAAGCAATGTACGGGAAATGCCCAGTCAGCGTCCTCTCTGTAATACGGCTTTTTGGCTTTTTGGGAGAATATTGTAACGCATTCACGTCGAGTCGAATCTTTTCGTAAATTCTCCAAGGGGGGAGTCACAAACGGAAAAGTCGAAAAAATAGTAAAACAATCGTTGCGATATATATGCTCAAAGGATGTAGATAAGAATAGAGATATTGTGGAGATATCTTAGTCTATGCGACGTTTATAGCCGGAAAATGCAAATCGTATGTACGAAAAGAAGCAACATTTTTTCATTTATAAAAATTGGTTTCGTTTATTTATAAAAGATTTTGCAAACGATGAAAAATTATATGTGCGCTGTTGGGCGTTCAAGGGATGTAACTGCATGTTTAATGTAGAAATTCAGGTGTATCTATATACTGCCTTTTTCAAGCAATAAAAACTTAAATAAGGAACAAGTAATCATTTAAACAATTTTATAACCTCTCCAACGTAAGAAAAAGTATTTCCACACTTTACGGCAAAAATCTCCCCAAGGAGTCCGTGCTCCGTTATTGCCTATATTGGCTAGAGAGGTATTACCACTTTTCCTATCGAATGGAAGACTGTTCGCCTTGTATATGGGTACCCGTTGTAAATACCTTATGATTCACATTAAAAATTCCCACTTACCCGCTTACACACACGACATCAGACAGATGAGCATAAATTGGTTGATTGCGGAAATCATTCTGCATCGATTTGCATAGTAAATAATACGCCTATCTCTGGGTGGTACATACGCCCTTATAAACTTAATATACTTATACCACAAGCGGTTGTACTATATAATTATACGAATATCATCTTAAAGTGTATGTATTAACAACTTGATAAATAGGTAAATAAAAATTCTCTTGACTTTATTTAACTCATCTTTCGCAGTTCGCTTTGATAGAAAGTTTTACAAAATTCCTTAAAAGGTTGCGTAATATTAAAAAAGCTGACATAAACTCTCACTTATTTGTTATTCATCTTTTCAATGGTGAACTATTTTTATAGCGTATATATATGAAAATATATTTAAGTACGTTAGCATCAGAAATCCGGTTATGTAACTCAAAATCGAACACTAAAAACCTGTAAATATTTAAAACATTACGGGCTTGAGTTTCTCTCTGCTGCTGCGGTCATTGTTATAAGAAGAAAGTATGAGTGTTTGTCACGATATCGAGCAAAAGTCCATTAACTCTATGCAACAAATCACATCCGGTCCATTGAATAAACTATCAATACATATGCACGCACGGCGTGTGTCATTATCAGTATTCATTGTATTGCAAAATACATTGTACAGCAGGTGCCTTCAACTTATTTAACTACATTAACAACTAACTCTTGTATGCTTTATAATCCGTAAGCTCGTATTCGCATTTATGTGAATGCACTAAATTTATGGATAAATGAATTTATTAATAAATGCCATAATCTATCTTTGGCTTGTTGTCGCCGCAGCCATTGTTCACAATTGACGTCAACTTGAACCTGCCAGGCGCTAAGCGCTTATTTCTTAAAGATGCCGAAACCGCTTTTTACAGCGAGATAAAATGTCTTTTTTTATCATTTTCCTCTCAATTGTTGGGCATCAATGAGTTCGGCCAGCATATGTAGTCCAGTTTAGTAGTTGCGCCGATGATGTAACTACTTGATAGGCTAATAGTGATTGATAGCCAGAACGAAGATAGTTTGCTACGTCGATATATTTGCAGCAAAATTTCGATTACCGCATTCTCCCGAAACGCAAGTCTTCTGAAGACTTTTCATATTTAGCACGAAATTTTAAAAAAGTCCGTCATAACATTGAATATAAATAAATACTGTGGTCACTTTAAGAATATTTCTGGTATTTAGGTTATACGGTACACGAAATAAAAAAAGCAAATCAACAAATAGCAAAGAGTTATATGTATGTGTGCGTGAAACAGTCCACACCTTCAAGTACCACGTACAAGTAAGTGTTCGTGTCTGCCTTCGCACTGAGTGTGTAAAACATACTTGAAAAATATATTTTTTATGAGAAAAAAAAAGAGAAATTTATGTAAAAAAAAAAAATTGATAATATTACGACTATAATGACATTACGATTTGTGGGGTGGCCATCCGCTGATTGCTTTTCAAACATCAATATTTCTTTCAAAGCACATGTAATTGGTTTCAATTCCGACTGATTTCTTGGCTTTCTAAACGATATAATTATCCCGAATAACCCGAAGACAATTCGTGCATGTGTGTTCTGCTTTACACACTCAAGTTGTAATTTGGATGCACGCTTGTAGTAACGCACGATTCATAGGCGTTGATGTTAGTCTTACACACGCAGCTTCTCTTCTTCTTGATGCAAGACGTTTGTTAGTGAAAAACATATTGGAATGGAAAAACCCTTGTCCCCAATACAGATAATCCGTTTAGTTTGCCAAGAGGTACAACTTCTGTAATCCCATCATTTCGACTCTACGATGCTATTATATTTTATTGTAACTGTAACATAATTTCACTGATTATAAGCGGACAAGGCCGACGATTGAATTTCCTACACCACTTCGCCTAGTACGACTTTTGTCGCGAATCTCTTCTTACATGTGAAATCGTTGTAAAAATGGAGTGATCCGAACCATTTTCAAAGCATGTCAGCATAACAAATTTCATCACAACAATATCTCAAAAGTTGCTAACTTGAGGCTGAACACACGCACACATGGACACCCGTCAGACGGACAGACATGCTTGGATCGATTGAGGAAAAGATTCTTCATCGATCGGTCTAAAAGATGGGTTCTATCTTAACCCTTTCTGGGCGTTGCATATGTCCGC